CAAATAAATATAGCAGATCTAAGCTGATGAAAATTTTGACCATGTGTCTTAATGGTCTGAGAAAAGAGGACTAACGGTCCTTATGTTAAAGAAAAACAAACAACCTGAAAGAGCTTACAAACAAACATGTTATAGAATCCAGAAGACAGAAACTCTTCTAGCTTTAAATTTTACCTGTTTCATCCTTGTAGAGAATCACTGTATTCAAAGAGAACTTAAAAAAATAAAATAAAAATAAATAAATAAATAAATAAATAAATAAATAAATAAGAGAACTCAAGGATGAGCTAGAGCAACTCCTTTATATTATAAGTGACAAAAATCAAGCTTGGAGAGATGCAATGGCATACCAATGTTACATAGGTAGGAGGAGGTGGGCTGGCTCAGAGCTAGGCCTCTAGGCCACCAGTCCGATACTTGCTCTGCTACTCCGTGCTGCCATCCCAGGTCTCAGAGTTCTCTCCTCCCCATACCTAGTTTTCCTGTTAATATAGATATTATATGTTATTTTAATCCACTGAAATTTTGAGGATGTTTGTTACTGCAGCATACCCTATCCTGTCCTGACTGATACAGGAACCTAAAAGGCACTGGGTAAAAGATGGTTATCATTGTTATGTACCCATCCCCACTGAATCCTCCCAATGCCACAACATCAGAGATTGAATGGTAGGCTAGAAGAGATCGTTGGTTTTATGGACACTCTCAGGGAAATAAGGAAAGAAAAGACATGGAATCAAAGACAATTCGCTGCCAAGACTCAGGGAAGTTAGGAGATGCTCAGATAAAGACCATAAGGACCTTCTTAGGATCTTATAGGACCTTCCTGGATTACAAAACAAACCCTACTCTCTGGTCTGTTCCCTAAATGCCTCCTGTCCTGAACATACCTTTTTTGTCCTACCCACAATTCTTTCCTTTATTCACTAATCAGTTCAAATTCCACTTATTTAGTCCCACATACTTCCCCCAAATTTCCTAACCACTCAAGCCTTTACTATGTGCAAAATAAACTATGCAAAACAGTTTCTTCAACAAGAATTATTGCTTGTACTTCTCATTTTATACTTAATCAAATGTTTGGTGTAATCTGTTTCAAGTATGTTGGTCTGGTTTCTCTAATCGGACTACAAACCTGTGAGAACACAAGGTGTCTTACTTCTTTTACAATCCACCACAGAAATGATTCCAAGGGACATTTTCACATTGATTTAAATGTGAAGGGAAGAACATGATATATTTCTTGGGACTAAGGACAAATTTTTTATTACTTTGGATGAAAATAGGGAAATGCACTAGCTGGGCTTTATAGTAATACCTTAATCCAGCTAAATATAAATACTATTTATTTATTTAGATGGAAATAAGTTATTATCTACCTTAAATGTTTTTTTTAAAGATTTTATTTATTTATTAGAAAGAGAGAGAGCATGAGCGGAATAGGGGGGCAGAGGGAGAGGGAGAAGACTCCCCACTGAGCAGGGAGCCTGCTGTGGGGCTCGATCCCAGGACCTGAGATCATGACCTGAGCTGAAGGCAGATGCTTAATCAACTGAGCCATCCTGGTGCCCCAACCTTAAATGTTTGATAGATAAACAGGGTAATAACTATTTACATAGTTATAAAATCTAAGCTAGACCTGTACATATTCTATACCTTGAAATCACCAAGTTAGGTTTTAGCCAAACCTATTTGTTAAGAAGAGCACAGAGCTTTTCTACTATACTGAAAGTTTGTTTTCATTATTCCAAAGAGGGTTGGCATGTAACCTTGAAACTATAAATACTTGCCACTATAAATTTGATTTGTTAAACGCAGAACAATTAATTGTTGGCATAGAGGTGAAAACTCCGCGTGTCGTAAGGGCTGATCCCACAAAGCCTTGCAGGGATGCACCTTCTGATCGTAACCGCCCTGATCTAGTTCCCAACATTCTACCTGCCACAACTATGCTGTGTATACTCTCTTACAGGTAAATAAATGCATTCCTCCTTGTAGGAATTTGTTTTACAAATAAAGTAACTCCAACATACCATAAAACATGGTGCACAATTTTTATCTCCTTCAACATATATTATAGCAGAAGCACTCTTAACCTCTCTACCAAACCAACCTGTCAGATCAGCTGACCCTCAGCATCCTCTCTATCTGTGCTCTGGTGCTGCTACTAGTTTAGTTATATTTTCCCCAGGAGTCATTTGGTTTGTTCCCAAACCAGTTTCTATCAGTTGTACGAGTTATTGAAATCCTATAATTTAATTGAAGTTTAGGTAAACTGATGAAATCTGTGCACATAAAGAAAACCAAGTCAGTAAAAGTTAGGCGCTATTTTTAAATGCTGCTACATGAGGTATGAGTGAAGTCACTGTAAGATAGAAGAACAAAATCACTGAATTCTAAAGGTGTTCTGCATGTGGGTTGCTTCACAAGTGTTAAGTTCTTGCTCTACTTTGAAGAAACCAAAATTGGAAATGAGTGATGTAGCTGAGAAGGGTGTTTTGCAAGAAAGACCAGAACTCCAGCCAGGGGCCATACTCACAACAAAAGACTGGCAAACGAATGTACATGCAGGTTTTGAGTTAAAACAGACAGTGTGTATACTTTTTGTTAATCACTGCTTTAACTACCTTCTACCTAACTGACCAATGACTGCCAACTGGTGACTTTCCATTAGAGGCTTCTACTCACCTTGCTAATTAAATGGTTGTAGAGATTCCACAAGCGCACAGAGACAGTGCCTTATTACTACCAATCAACTTAGAAAGATGCTAGACTAATGTCAGTGTGTAGCTGGAAAAATACATAGAGTAGGACTGTGGATAAGCAGAAGCGTGGAAGAGATGACCATAACTTCCATTATGTCTGTTTCTCAAGAAGCCATGAAGTTGTCTGCCTTTAAAAATATTTTTTTAACATTCAACGTTTTTATGACATAAAATGAGCACTTATTTACAAATGAAGTAGCATAAAAATCAAGAGCAGAGAGGAGCCATTGGCTACTATTGTGAAAACAAAACATGGCTCTTCTCCAAGGTACAGCTTCAGGAGCCCAAGGAGGGCCGAACTGGCCATCAGTAGGATTGTACACCTCAGTATCCCATCTCCCACCAGGCCAGGCCTGGTGTGGTCCGGACTCAACCAGCTGTTGGGCTGGACTCCCAGCTCCATCTCCTGAGGGCTCAGCCCAGCCAGCAGTGAGGTGATTCCAAGAAACAAAACCCATCACACTGGGGCAGCTCTCAGTTAACGGTGAACACTAGTTGCCTAAGCTTCTACACCACGTTTAGGAATCAGCCATCCCAATCACAGTGGACAAGTCTTACCCCAGCACTCACGCCTCCCTGAGAGAGGGAGGGGTCCTTCGCAGGAGGCCCGGGGTAGCTAAGGCAGAGGTATCTGTATTCTGCAAACTCCTATGACTGATTCTGATCCACTCCCAGATTAAGAATTTAGGGCTCCGTGAGGCCCGCGCTCCCCCTGAAATCAACCGCAAACAAATGTGTATGCAAACAGAGGTTCACTATTCTAGAATGCCTGTCCCTTATCTTCCATCGAGTTGTTTTCATCAAATTTTGAACCTCCTGTCTACACAGTCCACAGGAAATTCAGGAAGAAACTGAACATAAGAATTCCCTGCACAGAGCCTCCTTGTTGTACTCTCCTTCTCTCTCTAATTTTTTTCCACCAAACTCCAATCTGCTATTTCTCCACTTCTATTTTTAAATTGAAAAATTTTGGTTTCAAAATAACTATAATCTAAAAACTCCTCAAATAAAAGACACAGAAAATTAAATTTCCAACCTCCCTTACCCACCTCTCCCATTCTTATATGGTTTTGTTCTTTAAAAAAAAAAATTGGGGGAGGGGGGCGCCTGGGTGGCTCAGTCGTTAAGCGTCTGCTTTCGGCTCAGGTCATGGTCCCAGGGTCCTGAGATCGAGCCCCACATCGGGCTCCCTGCTCCACGGGAAGCCTGCTTCTCCCTCTCTCACTCCCCCTGCTTGTGTTCCATCTCTCGCTGTGTCCCTCTCTGTCAAATAAATAAAATCTTTTAATAAATAAATAAATAAATAAATAAATAAATAAATAAATAAAAATTTTTAATAAAAACCTTAAGAGCACTTTTGATCTGTTTTTCCTATTAAGCTAATGACTTGACCAAACCTATGTGCCTTTATTTTAATTATCTGCATCCTCACTTGCCTATATTTTTTAAAAACAAAATTATACATCGAGATAGTACTCTTTTTTTCCTGTTCCTTGACTCAACATATCACCATAACAAGGAAGGATACATACAATGTTGTGTGTGTTAAAGAGGCTCCCATCTATGCTAGTGGTTCGGATTTATAAATAAGAACATTCCCTCTCCAGGAGTAAGGCCTAGGCGTTCAGATTTTCCAAAACAATTCTCTGTATCCAGGGTACCCAAATGAAGTCAAACACTTAGGTTCCAAAAGTGGGGTAGCCGTCTGCTCCTGATGGAGGTTAATGTCCTCTTAGTGCACATTAGGTAAATAAGCCATTTTCTTTTACTACTTCTGTACGAAATGAATATTCACTTTTCAGAAGAACATTCCCTATCATAATTATACAATCAGTTCAAATTTGTTCTTAAGCACAGCGAAGCATGCTTGAAATTCCAACTTGACAAAAATAGCTAAAATTAACCTTTAAAATAGATTATTTGACTTGGAAAAGATCTAAAAAGCCTTAATATCAAGGCTAAAATCTACAGTAATCCAACATATTTTCCTGAGATCCAGACTTCAACATGGATGCTAGCATAGTACAGAGTAGAAACAATATTAAATCTGACTTCAGCCAACCTGGGTTATAATCTCTATTTACTTTGAACCAGCTATTTAATAGGGTCCCTCTTGGTGGAATGAAAATAACAACCATCTCACTCATAAGACTGTTATGAGAACCACTTAGGACACTGACACAGCGAGCTTTTGTAAGCGTGGGAAGAGTTGTTTAAAAGTAAGGTATCGGGGGCGCCCGGTTGGCTCAGTCGGTGGAGCATGCGACTCCTGATCTCAGGGTTGTGAGTTCAAGCCCCACATTGGGCATGGAGCCTACTTAAAATAAAATAAAATAATTTTTAAAAAAGGAAGGTATTGGTATAATTGCTGTTCCCTTTAATACAAATGCTCTAGAGAAGCAAACACATGGATTCCACATTTCTGCTAAACACACCCATCCCCGTTAAAAAGCACCATCAGGAGGGGGTTCCAGGAGTCTCCCACGGTTAATATATCTTTATCTGAACAGAGAAAAGCATGTAGTTTACACTGGTCATAAATTCCATGGACTTCTGGGCATTATTTTTAACTGAGATGTAAGTCACATACTATAAAAGTTGCCATTTTAAACAATTGAGTGGTTTTTTTTATATATACAGATTGTACAACCATCACCACTATTTAATTCCAAAATATTTTCATCCCATCAAAAAGAAACTCCATTCCCAGGAGCAGTCATTCTCCATCCCCTCTGCCCACCCCCAGCCTCTGACAACCACTAATCTACTTCCTGTCACTATAAATTTGCCCACTGTGGTTATTCCATTAAAATGGAGTGATGTAATATGTCACATTTTGTGACTGTTTAGTTTCACTGAGCATAATGTTTTCAAAGTTCATCCACGTTGCAGCATATATCAGAACTTCTTTCTTTTTTATATTATACAATAACATAAATAAGATTTTGTCATATGGATATACCACATTTTGTGTATCCATTCATCAGCTGATGGACATTTGGGTTGCTTCCCACTTCTGGCTATTCTGAATAATGCTGCTCTAAACATTTGTGTACATGTTTTGTGTGAACGTCTGTTTTCAGTTCTCTTGGGTATATACCAAAGAATGCAATTGCCGGGTTATTTTCAGGAACTCTTGAACCCTACTGTTCACATCAGCAGCCTCTGTGTGAACTCATTTCCATGACAGACAGAAGGCAATAGAGTTCGCCAGGGATCCCAAAAGTCACAGGAGGAAATGAAGACATGCATGAAGGAAAGAGGAGGTTCTGCATGAAGCAATACATTGCTGCTCCCCAAATGCCCTAATAATGCATTTCCCCACCCCATAAAAAAAAAAAGAAAAAAAGCAGTAGCCATAGTTAGGTTGAGGGGACCAACGCTGGACCGAAACTGGCACGATTCTCCTAATAATAAGAACAACCAACATGTAATGAGTGCTTACTATATCCAAGGCACTGTGCTGAGCACATAATATGGATTGTGTAACAGTCAAGAGGATGGAGAAACATGATTTTTTAAAACAAACGCTGATTGCAGCCGATTTTGCCTTCCTACCAGGGTGGCATAATTCATCTCTAGGCCAGGCCTGGAAGGAGAGAGGAAAACAGAAGAAGATAAATTGCCTGAGTAAGAAAATGACATGTATCTGGAATTTGCTGGAAGCTCAAGAGAATAGAGTGGGCAGCGGGGGCTTAAAGCCTTGAAAACAGAAGAAAGGAATTGAAGTATAGACAAGAGAAGGCAGGCTCAATGGTGCATGAGTCTAAGAAGAAAATACAGCCAGTAGGAAATCTTCAACAGCCAAGAACACTGTAAGTAATCAATTTTAAGTTGATTTCTGTTTTGAACTGCATTGGTATCTCTCACTATTGCTCTGAGACCTTCAGCAAGGCCTGTGTTGGTGTCACGCTGGGGGAGTAAAGAAATGGGCAGAGCAGACAGGAGAAAGCAGTGGCCTGAGGTGGAGCACTAAGTAGGAATTCAGAGAGAGTGACCTACAAATGTGAGCCTCAGACGTCACCAGAACATTAGAGGGCAGGAAAAGTACTGGACCTCGCATAGCACATGGCTCAAGCCATCTTAAGTATTAAGGGCCAGGACCCCAGAAACTGGAAAAGATGGGGTCAGCTGACTGTCATAATATAGTCTGCCCCAAAAACAGACTTGTGTTAGAAAAGGTGGGTCACCGGCAGTAGCAAACAAACGCCAAGATTTAACTCACTTTAACGTTCACTGCATGGCAATGGCCTTAAAACAAAGACCCTGAAGACTTTATGATGACATTCCTATGAATGGTCAGAGAGGACCAAAGGTTTTTTCTCAGTGTCCCTATTGGAAGGCAAGACCATTCTTCTCATGAAGGTCGTGGTTACCCCCATGTGGAGGTCATAGTTAAGTGGTCTTGAGCCCACTTCCATAGCAGGGGTCGGCAAAGGTTTTCTATAACAAGCCAGATAGTAAATACTTTAGACTGTGAGCCAAGAAGCAGTATCAAGGATATTAAGCATGTACTTACATAACAAGAGAAAAAAACAAACTTCCACAACATTTTTTTTTCAGGCACGCACGTTCCCAGCTTCCCATTTTTTTTTAAATTTTATTTTATTATGTTAATCACCATACATTACATCATTAGTTTTAGATGTAGTGTTCCATGATTCATTGTTTGCATATAACACCCAGTGCTCCATTCAGTATGTGCCCTCTTTAATACCCATCACCAAGCTAATCCATCCCCAGCCCCCTCTAGAACGCTCAGTTTGTTTCTCAGAGTCCATAGTCTCTAATGGTTCGTCTCCCCCTCTGATTTCCCCCCCTTCATTTTTCCCTTCCTACTATCTTTTTTTTTTTAACATATAATGTATTATTTGTTTCAGAGGTACAAGTCTGTGATTCATCAGTCTTACACAATTCACAGCTTCCACAACATTTTTACTGATGAAACTCAAAATATAACAATTGTGCACAATTTTTTATCATATAGATCTACTAATGAGAAGAATGGAATTTTTTTGGATAGTTTTTTGCTTCACTGGGGTTTAAATCCTAACATCAAGTCAGTTGCAAATTGTTCATTTGTAAAAATCACTCTTAGCTCATGGGCCATACAAAAACAGGTACAGGCTGGATATGGCTTGTGACCTCTGTTCTGTCATCACCAATGTCTGAAGCAAAGTCAATGCTGGGTGCTCTGTTCCAAGTTTGTAGTGGAATACCCTGATTTGGAAATCAGACACCTGGAAGGGCCTCTGGAGTAACTCTTGAAAGATTCAGATGTTCCTCAAACACAGAGGTCTACCACTGCAATGATTAAAATCATTCAACTGGTATTTATTGAGCACCTACTATGTGCTGGTACTATCAGAGTCATGGCGGACACAGTGGTGAGCCAGACATATGAGTGCCCCACCTTCACAGGGAATGAAACTGCAAACAGGAATAAAAGAAAAAGAAGGGCACCTAGTGCCCTTCAGTTGGTGGAGTCTGAGACTCTTGACCTCAGGGTTCATGAGTTCGAGCCCCACATTAGGTGTAGAGAGTACTTAAACATTTAAAGAATCTTAAAAAAAGAATAAAATACTAAATAAATAAATAAAAAATAATAAAAATTCTAACAAAAACTTATCTGTTACTGTAAGCTTTTATTTAAGATCTTAAATATATATATATATATATTCCAGCTCTCTCTCTCTATATATATATATGGCTGAGAATATTATATATGCTTTAAATTTCAAGAATATTGCTATAAACTTCCCTCTTAGAACTGTTTTTGCTGCATCCCAAAGATTTTGGACCATTATGTTTTCATTTTCATTTGTTTCCATGTAATTTTTTATTTCTTCTTTGATTTTTTGGTTGGACCCATTTGTTGTTTAGTAGCATGTTGTTTAACCTCCATGTATTTGTGGTCTTGCCAGATTTTTTCTTATGGTTGATTTCCAGTTTCATAGTGTTGTGATCAGAAAATATGCATAGTATGACATCAATCTTTTTGAATTTGTTAAGACTTGTTTTGTGGCCTAATGTGTGATCTATTCTGAAGAATGTTCTATGTACACTTGAAAAGAATGTGTATTCTGCTGTTTTAGGAAGGAATGTTCTGAATATATCCCTTAAATCCATCTGGTCCAGTGTGTCATTCAAAGCTAGTTTCTTTGTTGATTTTCTGTTTGGATCATCTGTCCATTGACATAAGTGGGGTGCTAAAGTCCCCTACTATTATTGTATTACTATCAATTAGTTCCTTTGTTTTTTATTAACTGTTGTTTTATGTATTTGGGTGCTCCCATGTTGGGTACATAAATATTTACAATTGTTATAGCTTCTTGTTGGATTATCCCCCTTATTATATAGTTTCCTTCTTTGTCTCTTGTTACAGTCTTTGTTTCAAACTCTATTTTGTCCAATATAAGTATTGCTACCCTGGCTTTCTTTTGACATCCATTTGCATGATAAATGTTTCTCCATCCCCTCACTTTCAACCCTCAGAAAAATCTCAAATAAGCAACCTAACCTTACATCTTTAAAGGAGCTAGAAAAAGAAGAACAAACAAAACTCAAAACCAGCAGAAGGAAGGAAATAATAAAGATAAGAGCAGAAATAAATGGTATAGAATCTAAAAACAAACAAACAAAAACCAGTAAAACAGATCAATGAAACCAGGAGCTGGTTCTTTGAAAAATCAACAAAATTGAGAAACCCCTAGCCATACTCATCAAGAAAAAAAAAAGAGAGAGGACTCAAATAAATAAAATCACTAATGAAGGAGGAGAAAAAGCAACCAACACCACAGAAATACAAACAATTATAAGAGAATATTATGAAAAATTATATACCAACAAATTGGACAACCTAGAAGAAATGGATAAATTCCTAGAAACATAGAACCTATCAAAACTGAAGCAGGAAGAAATAGAAAATTTGAACAGACCAATTACCAGCAATGGAATTGAATCAGTAATCAAAAACTCCCAACAAACAAAAGTCCACGACCAGATGGCTTCACAGGTGAATTCTACCAAACATGTAAAGAAGAGTTAATACCTATTCTTCCCAAATGATTCCAAAAAATACAAAAGGAAGGAAAATTTCCAAATCCATTCTATGAGGACAGCATTACCCTGATACCAAAAACAGATAAAGACACCACAAAAAAAGAGAACTACAGGCCAATATCTCTGATGAACATACATGCAAAAATCCTCAACAAAATACTAGCAAACCAAACTCAACAATACATTAAAGAAAATGATTCACCACCATCAAGTGGGATTTATTCCTGGGATGCAAGCATGGTTCAA